GACTATAGTAAGACGTCAGTGGTCGGCTTTGGGGAGCCCTGCCTGGAAACCCCAGCACTCAGAGAAAGGCAGCTCAGTGGTCGGCTTTGGGGAGCCCTGCCTGGAAACCCCAGCACTCAGAGAAAGGCAGCTCAGTGGTCGGCTTTGGGGAGCCCTGCCTGGAAACCCCAGCACTCAGAGAAAGGCAGCTCGCCGAGTGACAGCGGCAGACGAGGAGCGATCATCTTACCATGTACGTGGCGATCTCCTCCGGGGCGTCCCCATCCAGGTCGAATTTAAACGTCACCATCTTGTTGTTGTGGGTCTCCAGCTGGCACTCCACCATCTTGTCTCCGGTGTTGCATACCTGAGAGCGACAAACGGGGTCACAGGGCAGCATCTTCCTTATGGCCCAACGCAGGAGTGAAATGGGAGCCAGCTGGGAGAGCGGCCAGGCAGCGGCAGGACCAGGGTGGCAGCGGCAGGACGAGGGTGGCAGCGGCCGGGCCGCTCCGTCGACGCCACCGGTCACCCTGGGCTGCCCATGTCACCCCGGAACGGCAAATTCAAGAACTAGTGAAATATTTTTTCTTATTTATTTATTATCATGGCCCATCGTGTCCAATACAATCACTTATAACCCTCATTTCAGGAGTGTGAAGCTGTCGCTGTCTTCACTGCCACTTCAGTGCTGATGGGTTCCATGATTTAGGAAAACAGCAGCATGTGGCACCGAATTTAATAAACAAAGATTTGCCGAATTTATATAGACTACTGACTTTTGGGCCTCATAATACACCTCTCAGTATTTTAGGCATACTACTAATCTGCACATGCATATAATCGCGATTTTGTCGCAATGTGATATCGTGCAGCCCTAAAAATAATCCACACAAACAGCCATCATGATAAAAATGTTAACTAGAACAAAAATTAGATGATTTTCATTGGTTAATTAGACATCAAACACTATCAGTAGACAGAGGAGAATGGGTGTATTCCATCTACAGTAAAAAGTCACAATCGTCAGAAAGTGGACATTTTTGCATAACCTTGTCTCTGGTGTTTGTATCTGTGGACTTTGCTGCTGTATGCAAACAAATTCCTCCTTGAGATACATGTAGTTTACATATCCATCCATCCACCCACCCATCAGGGAGCCGCTCCTGCACCCCCCCTCGGCCATGCAGTGCAGTGTGAGGGCAGGCAGACTCACATTCAGCATGCTCAGCTTGGCCTTGCTGCTCCTCTCCTGCCGGAACCGCGTGCGTGCGGAGCGCCGGTGATGCTTCTTCACCCTGGCATCCGCCTTGCCGCCCGCCGTGCCCTCGTAGCCGTCGCTCATCTCCTTCCCCGAGGTGGCGTCAGAGTTGACGCTGCGGGGGGAGGGGGGGTGTTTTCAGTGACTCTGCGGCAGAGCTACAGGTCGCTATGTCAAATGCCATAATCAAAGGCTCTTATGAACTATAGGTAACATACCTATATGCATTTGCGAGCACACACACACACACACACACACACACACACACACACACACATACACACCTGTCGTAGTTGTAACTGTGCAATGGCACTTGTTTGTCTGGTAGAGGTTCCTGGAGGTAAATAAAAAAGGAAATGCAATCAGGTACCCTGAGAGGAAAGGGTGTGGGGCAGGAGGTGAAGACGTGGGAAAATGCAGAGGTGCGGAACAGAGCAACGTGGGGGGTTGGGAGGGTGGCCACCAGAGGGATTATACATCATAGGCTGAGAAAACCACAGGAGCTCAGTGTGTGTGTCTATGTGGGCGGGGGGGGGTGGCGGCTATACCAATTTTTGTTTGCATGTGGGTATATGTGTGAAAAGTAAGTAGCCAGGTGTGTGTGTGTGTGTGTGTGTGTGTGTGTGTGTGCGTGTGTGTGTGTGTGAATGCAGTGCCCCTGTGGGTGGGGCCAGCATGCCCGTTCACACCTCCTGTGTGTGTGCGTGCGTGTGTGCGTGTGTGTGAATGCGTGCGTGCGTGCGTGCGTGTGTGTGTGTGTGTGCGTGTGTGTGTGTGTGAATGCAGTGCCCCTGTGGGTGGGGCCAGCATGCCCGTTCACACCTCCTGTGTGTGTGCGTGCGTGTGTGCGTGTGTGTGTGTGTGAATGCAGTGCCCCTGTGGGTGGGGCCAGCATGCCCGTTCACACCTCCTGTGTGTGTGCGTGCGTGTGTGCGTGTGT